ACCTGAGTGTTCCTCTTGTCGTCCTCTTCGATTTGACCTAAAACTCTCGCCGGAAAATCGTCGCCGGAGAGCCCTCGCCGAACCCGCCGTCCGCGCCTAGTCCGCTCGATTCCGCCCCTCTCTTCGTTCGGTCACGCGTGAAATGGGAGGGGGAGAGTTTCGATTTTCTTATTTAGGGAGAAATGGTTTGCAAATGTCCATAATGCCCTTGCTTAAGTGGATTTGGCATTTCATTTGATTAAGGGTAAAACCGGTATTTAGAGACTTCTAAAATTAATAACTCTAAAATTAGGCTAAATCGGGTATAAGTTTTATATACTAAAACGATCAGAATTTCGCACGAAATTTTCTAAAATTATTTTGTTGAATTCCGTTAACGTTGAAAATTCTACTAAATTCTCGTCGCGGCGCTTTAAAAAGCGTGCAAAGACTAAAATAGGATTTTCGGGTTTTACATTAACATGCAAGTTTAATACTATTTACAGTTGCATAACTTACTGAGCCTCATAGATCACCAGAATTTTCATTAATGGCTGTCGTTATAGGAAAAGAGAAAGAAAAAGTAGTTGCCGACTAAGTTTCAAGTATTTCAATCCTAGATGTTAATTTTATTTATGTTTGTAAAACTAAACTAAAGGTATGTTAACATTCTCATGAAGTGTTTGTTTGGATTTTCCTTAGTGGCTCTATAATTATATTTTATGGATGCTTAAAACTTTTAGTACTTCCATTGATGTACCAGTTGATGTTGAGGATATGTTTATATGTAAAAACAAATGATGAATTGGTTCAAATGGATATAAGATGAAAAATGTTATGCTTTATTTGTTACACTTTGGAGTATTGTTCAGGAGTATTATGGGTCGTTGCATCATATACCTAGTTTTTGTTTAACCAACTATAAGCAATCTATCTTCTAAATATTTTATCTATTATTATAACTTTTTATTTATCTTAAATAGATATTTCACTACTTAGGACTATATAATATACAAAAAAGCATAAACTTGATTTAATCCGAATTAAACTATTATTTAATCTAATTATAATTGAAAATTTTTATATTTCTCAACTTATTCTATCATTAATCAATGCTATGTCATGCATATGACTATAGCCTCAATATCTTTAACGCAAACAATTTTTCCTTAATGCACAGCAAATCAGTTATCATGTTATTTAATCATATGCTTTCTCAAGATAAATAAAACTTATATGAAGATCCATTCTCTATTCTCTATACTTTTTCATTAATTGTCTTAACAAAAAAAATCACTTTTATAATACATCTTTCTAATTTTTCTAT